TTTCTCGCAAAATTGGCTGCCAGGCGGGATCTGTCTCCAAGCGGGATCTTCACCAACGATCTCCACGAGCCATCCGCCTGCGTCCTAGAAGGTCCGATCCAGACGCACCCCGATGCCAAGCCAGCACCCGAGGGCTCCGACCCCGACGCCAAGCCGGCGCTCGGGGGCTCTGGCCCCAGTGCCTCCGTAACGACGTCACCCGCTGACGTCGCTGTGTTGGTACTCGACCAAACCGACTGGCGAGCGCCACTACTCACCTACCTCCTCGAGGAGCTTCTCCCACCTGAAAGGACTAAAGCCCGACAGATCGCTCGACGTACCAAGACCTTCGTCGTGCTTGGTGATGAACTCTACAAACAGAGTCCATCGGGGGTGCTCATGAAGTGCATCCCTACCAGCTAGGGGAAGCAGCTCCTCCTCGAGGTCCTTGCTGGTATCTACGGACATCACGCGGCTCTGAGGTCGCTGGTCGAAAAAGCCTTTCACCAAGGTTTTTACTGGCCCACCGCACTATGAGATGTAGATGAGGTCATCCGCAGGTGCGAGGGATGCCAGTTCTATGCTTGGCAAACTCATTTGCTGGCACAGGAGCTTCAAACCATCCCCATCACCTAGCCATTCACGGTCTAGAGCCTCGACATGGTAGGACCCCTCAAAAAGGGCCCGGGCAGCTTCACTCACCTACTCGTAGCGGTCAACAAGTTCACCAAATGGATAGAGGCCAAGCCCGTCACCAACATCCGCTCGGAAGAGGCGGTCAAATTCTTCCTTGACATCATCTATCGGTTTGGCGTTCCTAACTGCATTATCACTGACCATAGGACTAACTTCACCGGGAAGAAGTTCCTAGACTTCAGTGATGGATACGGCATCAGGATCGATTGGGCCTCGATCGGACACCCACGTACTAACGGTCAGGTCGAGCATGCCAATGGCATGGTCCTCCAAGGACTTAAGCAACGCATCTTCGACTGACTCAACAAGTATGCCGGGCGATGGGTTGTAGAGGTCCCAGTAATCCCCTAGAGCCTGAGAATGACCCCGAATCGATCCACAGGGTTCACACGCTTCTTCCTAGCCTACGGAGCTGAAGTAGTGCTGCTCTCCGACCTCGACCATGGCGCCCCAAGAGTGAAGGCTTTCGACCGCGACCGAGCCGTAGAGGCTCAGCAAGACGCAGTCGACCTGCTCGAGGAGGCCCGCGAGACGACCGTCATCTGCTCCACTCGCTACCAGCAAACTCTCTATAGGTACCACGAAAGGAAGATCAGGGAGAGGATCCTCGAAGTCGATGATCTCGTGCTCCGAAGGACCCAATCAATGAAGGAGAAACACAAACTCTCTCCACCATGGGAAGGACCCTATACGGTGACCAAAGTGATTCAGCCAGGTGCCTACTGACTGAAGGACGACAACAGCAACGTTCTCACCAACACTTGGAACATTGAACATCTACGTCATTTCCCCCCTAAATTCGGTCTTACCGCTTTTTGCTCCTGTAAAGCACCATAGCCCGAACACTTTCAGCCCGGGTCGCTCGGGGGCTCCATGAGGGTACAATACTAAATACTACCTCTCTTTTTTTCTGTCACATGGTAAAAACTTTTTTCCTGAACGAAAGCACATTCCATTCCTTTGATTACCCACGTGACTTTGTTCTTACTCCCGACCAAGCACACCCCGCCACGACCTACAGCAATGAGCAGCCGAGCCTCGCGGGCCATGCCCAGGCTCTTAAAAGTTGTAGCCTATGGAATGAATGGGAAGGTGTGAAAAAGAAAGGATAAGAACAAAGCTATGCTAGGATAAAAAACAAGGAACGGATAGTGATTCTATCACAAAACAGAACTGATGTATTCATTGATACAAAAACTGTTCACACGTGGGATCCCCCACGAACTTAACGATTACATTTGCTGACTACTTGTACTCCAAATACTACTGTGGCCACTCGGCGGCATCAGCTGATGCCAAAAGAGAGGCCACGGCACACGCCACCGGACATAACCACCGCCGCCCGTTTCTGCTCCCTCGACTTCGGCAAGCGCAACGGGTACCTCAAGGACCCCGCCCGGTTCCGCTCCCTCAACTTCGGCGAGCACAATGGGTACCTCAAGGGCATCGCACCCATAGATGCTCAGCAGAAGAGCATGGAGCTTCTGACCATCTCATGCAGTCGAGGTAGCTCCTGGGCAGGGACGCTGCCCGCCGAAGTATGGTCGCCATGACTGGAGGATGTCTCATCAAACTTTATGAACTGACCAACCTGAGCAGCTGTAGGGGTGAAACCTCCCACCAGCCCAGAGAAGATTCGCCGGAAGGAGTCCATGTATGGCCCCATCCCGATGAAAGCCTCACAGACGGTGATGAAGCCGGCGACGTACGACACCCTCCAGTGCGCCACCTCCTTCGGTGGAACCAAACCCTTCTCAGCGAAGGCGGCCAGCACCATCTCATCTACATTGGGGGACCTCCAACTCGACATCGCGCTCCGGAATCACGAATGGGTCTATGAGTTCTCTTTTCCTTCTCCCTTCCCCTATTTAAAGAAAAGGTGGAGCAGTTGAGGAAAGGCGAAAGGATTAGGGAGAGAAACCCTCTCCCTTCCCCCATTCAATGCGGATGGGAAACGACAGGATGCGCCCTGACCGATGGGACGCACCCCGCCCAATGGAACGACTCCTGGTCAGACGGGACGTGGCCGAGGTATGGCCCACCACTACTGCACGACCGAGCGTGAGAAACAAAGTGCCACCATGCGCAGGCGTCCCTCCGCCTTCCCAGGCAGGACTTGGAAAGGCCCAACTACGGGATCTCCGCCCAAGAGAGACCATCGGGCTTCCTAAGTCAATCGAACGGCTCAGGAAAACGCTGAGAGATAGGTAAGAAGCAAAGGGACGCCCCATGTGGGCCACGCCGACTCCGTCACGAACGATGAGCACCGATCCCGGTCGGACATTTCTAATTGGAGCTCTTCAAACCCCGTCATTCTAGTCATCATGGTAACATTACTAACCCGCACTATTTCCTTATATAATCATTCATACATCCATACACGCATTCATTCCATACACCCATGCCCCCCTAGACGATTCTACCCGAATCGCCTGGGGGCTCGGGTGCCGAGGCATCACATATGAGGTTAAATGCATCACAACGCTCCGTGTTGCATCACGAAGCGGCAGTTGCCTCATTCAAACATGAGCAACGACCGACCGGGGTTCGAAGGTTGGCCCACGAAGGGCTCGAGGCTGCCTCGCGTCAAACAGAGCCAGGGGAGAAAACATAGATGAGCCCCGAGCGGCCCTCGCCTAGTCTACCCCAAAGCGGATAGGGTCATCTCAACCTTCTCGTTCCATCCTAAACCTCTACCAAACCCACAGAATCTCCATCGAGGGGAGGCCAGCGGGCCACCCGGGTCGGTCTCTAGAACGACCCAGGCATCTACCGGTTTGTAGGTTAAGGAGCAGTGGAATGTCATAAGAGGGCTATGCCGACCCCGTCATGAACGACGGACCCGGATTTCACTCGATCATACCCGTTAGCGAGCTCACCGAGCGCGTCACTGAAGCCCGAGCGATCGAGGCAAGCGACGTTAGCTCAGCCCCTCCGGTTGCAAGAAACCACGGACGGGGTAACGCACAAAACTCAACCGACCCCTGCCAAAGGCCAACAGGGCTCAGGGGCTTAAGACACTAAAAAATGCCACGGCTGCACCTGGGTCCATGACTCTGACTCGCCCAAATCCCTCGGCGCGCCCAACGCCTAGATCCGCGAGTCCGTTTCGATCCCTCGGCTGCGCCCGACGCTAGGATCCGCGAGCTCCGTCTTGCCCGATCCCAAAAAACAACTGCCTCGACTATGCACGACACCTTAGTTGATGACTCTGTCTTGACTAAAATGCACGCACACACGCCCGCTGACAAAAAACCCCCAAGCGATTCATCCTGAATCGCCCGGGGGCTCGGGGGCTACACCGGCGGGTGTGCTCGCGCGCACCCGCTGACGAAATGAAATGTCCCCCGCTGGCAACACGAAACCCCCCAAACGATTCTACCAAAATCACCTAGGGGCTCGGGGGCTACACCCATGGGTGCGCTCACGCGCACCCGCCGTCAAGACAGAAATCCCCCAGTCGATTCTACCCGAATCGCCCGGGGGCTCGGGGGCTCCTGTCGGGTTCATAAACCGTGGGTCCCTCATGGACCGACTTCCCAACAATGGCTCGGCCCAGCAGACAATGTTGTCAACAACACGCAACTCATGGGCTGGCCCAAACACCTAAACGATTGGCCAGAAGGACAAACTAATCTTCGACCGGAAGGCCTGGCCGAGTTGGAATGGCTCCCGCTTCCGACTCTGGCCCACCTCTCCGACCGGAAGGCCTCACGAAGAAGGAACAACGCTCGCTTCTAACACCAGCCCACCTTCGAACGACCTCTCCGACCGGAGGGCCTGGCCAAACACCACTTTCCGACTCTATCTCGCGTCTCCAACCAGGGATACACCGAACCCCTGCTTATAGCTCTTCTTCGACTGGCGCAATCAGAGCCGACTAGGACCAACTGATAGGGGACATTTGCTCGGTAAGGACTAGGAAACGGACGGAGAAAGTAAGGCAGGGCACTCAAGTCAACCGCAATACCGAGGAACGTACCATGTACACCTGTAGGACTGTACCCTACGACCTCCCTGGCATGACAGAACCCAAGCAAAGTTGTACGCGCTGACATTTTCCCTACAGGCTCCAACCCACCACCTCCGACGACCACCCGAACAGGCTCCTCTACTACTCCACCGCCAAAGGCCGGTGGTTCATCAGGGGGTTCAACCTGTAATAGGTCCGCATGCGCACCCCTTCTCCGAGACCGGCGTGCTCGCCCACAATGGCCGCCTCTGGTGGCTTGCCCTCGCCTATGGCATGTTCTTCTGCGATCCCTACACGCTCCAATTCGAGTCCCCCCCAGCTGCGCTTCCTCCCGCTCCCGGACAACTGCGAGATGGAGGGCGACGTCGGCTTCGACCCCCGCATCAGGACCCTCATCGACCAGCGCCGCTGCGTCAGGCCCAGCGAGGGCAAGCTGCGCTTCGTCGAGATCCACGGCCTCTCCTACGACGATCTCGTCGACGTACCCGCGGCTAACCCCCACCGTCCGGATGTGGACGCTCAATGACTCAGAGGGCCCCGACGCATGTACGTTCGAGTACGAGGTGTCCTTGGCCAAAATCTGGGGCAACAAGACCTACACCGACGCGGGCCTGCTGCCGGACGATGTGCCCCACGTATTCCTCGTCGACCCCAACCACCACTACGTTGTCTACTTCTTCCAGGGCTCGAAGCTCTTCGGCTTGGACATGCGCGAGAAGAATGTCGTCGCCTGCAAGGAATGCCTGATAGACCGTGATCAACTCAGGTTCCCATCCTCCCGCCCCATCGTCGATGCCTGGGAGCTACCGCCACCGCCAGCCACGCTTCCAGGAGACAACGACTCTTTCACCAGATGGTATGCACGCGTACATCCCCACTAGTTGCTCAGTTCTGAGGCATCCACTTGCCTTACCTACGGTTAGTGAATGAATCGATCGAATGCGTGTCTGCATGCTCGGCATTCAACTGTAAATTGTGCGTGTTTTTACTTAGACTGGCTAGGTCGTTTCCGACATTCATATTGGCCTATGTGCATGCTAGTAACAGTAGTATCTGAACTGGTTTATGCCGGATTTCCAGTTTCAGTTGGCATGTCTTACACACTGACCAGATTACAAGGGATCCTCGTGACATGTGTGCGCTTCTCCGATTCATTGCCTTTGCCTTATCATTGAGAAATATGTTCATTACTTTCATAGATGTACTATTCTGTTATGTACACTAGGATTACAACTGCACAACGTGTATGGATGATAGAATAGTCACTGAATTAGTCTGAATTTGGCATGCACAGAACACTGCTTCTGTTCAGTTCTTTATATATTCCTCTTGCGAAAAATATTTGATTCATGAATCATGACTATGACTTCTGCTAGTATTTGGATTTGGAATGCTGATTGCTTGCTTAACCCTTAATTGCTGCTCTTTTTCATGCTCTTGTAGCATTTGGATTTGGAATGTTCATTTAGAATAGAATCACGGAATTAGTTTGAATCTGGCATGAACAGAACACTGCTCTTCTGTTTGGCATCAGCCACTATGTATTCCTCTTGCTCATATTTGATTCATGAATCATGACTATGACTTCCACTAGCATTTGGATTTGGAATGATGATTATTGCTTGCTGACCCTTAAGTATTGCTGCTCTTTTGCATGCATGCAGATAATGTTTGGTCGACACAGTCTTACACCGAGGAAAAGAAGCGCCAGGTGACCGAGTCTGTTAGAGCATCTCCAAGAGTTCCCTAAATATTCCTCTTAAAAAGTCTATGTTTACCAACTCCTAAAAAGGTTTTAGGAGAAAAAAAGAAGTTCATCTCCAATAGTTTCTAATATTTGACTTCTAAAAAATCAAAAGCGGGTCCCATTTGACGTTTTTTTTCTACAATCTTCTTTTTTTCCACGCGAACCTCTTCGTCGCCAAACGTATCCACGCCGCCGCCGCCTGCTGCTGCTCTTCCTCCCTTCGCTCCTACTCTTCCGCTGCGGCACGCCGCCGCCGCCGCCTCCATGTCCCAGCGCCGCCGTGTACCCTATCGTGCCGGTGCCGGGAAACACTTGCAGCCAGCTCGAGGCGCGCCTCAACGACGCGTACGAGCCGTCCCCGGAGTCGCCGCAGTGCGGCGCGGGCAGCGACGAGCGCGGCCGGTGGTTCCGGTTGTGGAGGAACGCCACGGCCATGGATGACCCCACCGTCGTGTGACTCCACCCTCGGATTCCTCGCCGACACCGAAGCCAACAAGTAAGCACTGAGCCCGGCCGGCGTCGCCGGCCTACCCTACATACAGTGGCGAACACGCACATGCTGACCAGCCAGACCTGTACCTATATGGCCCGGCCGTACACAGAGACCTGTGCATGAGGAGGCTCATCGACACATGATACAATGCAAACTCATGGAATGTATAATCGGTTCTGGCCTGCTTCCTCCTGGAAGCTGTTGGTGTTCTGATCCATGGCTCCATTCGCGAACTCCTCATCGTTGCCGTACTGTTGCTGCTGCTGGTAGCTACTGTCGTGCCTGCCGTCGGCGCAGCGGGGTCGGCCGTACCCTGAGCCGGAGCCAAACTCCTCCTCTTGGCGGGGCGCGTCCGCATGGGGTTTGACTTGCGGCCGTAGCCGTACCTGCCGGCGTCCACGTCGTAGTAGTAGCGGCTGTTCTGGTATAGCCTCGTGTCACTCATCCCGTAGTCCCGCTGCTCCTGCTGCCTGTGGAAGCCCGTGAAGTACCACGGCGGCCGGCCCCTACCGCTGCCATTTTCCGGGTACGGCTGTATGCCGTCGAGGTCTCCTCCGGCGCCTCCCTCCTCCTCGGTGCCAGTGGTGGTGGGTGGCATGTCGGTCGGCGGCCGACCCCTGCCGCTGCCGTTTTCGGGGAACGTCGTCCGGACGCGCTCGCCGCCGGCACCACGGGCTCTTACAGGGGTCGCCGCCGCCGCCTCCACGATACCTGCTATGGCCGGCGCCACGTCGGTCGTCGTCGTCGTCAGCTTCTCGGCATTGCGGTGCACGCCACGGCAGAAGTAGTCCGGCGGGTAGTTCTCCTCGGGGCGGCCGTAGAGCCCGTACCCGCGGCCGCTGCAGGCGGTTGAGGGGTGTGAGAACACCGGCGCGGCATCGGTGTCCACGGTCACGGCGTTGATGGGCACGGCAGCCTTCTCGGGCTCAACAACGGTGGCTTCGGGACGCGTGGTCTTGCTGAAGAAGAAGCGGCCACCGCTCCACGCGTCCGCCGAGCGAGGCGCCGCGACGGCGAGTGAGACGCTGTTCGGCGCGCAGTACGACTTCCGTCAGGCTCCGAGCGTGGCTTTGTCTGTGTAAAGTTACGCGGAAGGGGAGGGATTTTCTAAGTCCTAAAAGATTAGGAGTAAATATTTAGAGTTGTTGGAGAAGGTTTTTTCCCATCTTTCTAAAAAAATAAGGATTAGAAAGATGTTTAGGAAACTCTTGGAGATGCTCTTAACTCTTGGCTAAACCAGGCCTGGCTGGAGTGGGCGAGGGACACGGACACGTCGGTCGAGAGCTAGAGGACATGGCAGATGGCACCACCAACATCTGATGAATCATCTATTAACTCGGGTGGCCAAGCTGATGATGAGCTGGAGATGCAGTTCCCCCTTTCTCTGTAGGTGAGACAGAGAACCCAGAGACCGATTCGTCGTGTCAACATGTGGAAGCTTCTTTCGATCTTGCGTTTCAGATACATAGAGTAGAGACTAGAGACTGCAGCTTTGTGTCATGGACATCTCATCCATTCTCATCTGAGACAGCGGCGGACACAGGAATTGAAAATTGGGTGTACAGGTTATATATATATATATATATATATATATATATATATATATATATATATATATATATATATATATATATATACACACACATGTGGAATCAAACCATTGTGGCATATGTAAAGCTAAATGTCCATTAATTCAAAGCAAACAATACTAGAACTAGAGCAGAGTACATTAGTACAATTAATTAATACATACAATATCTTTAAAGTCTCAACTAATAAAGGAACATTACAAATTCATTCGACGAAGCGGCTTTTGGAATTGAGAGATGATGTCTTCATCAGCAACACATAGAAAAAATTGCTTCTCAATGAATGTAACCAAGTAATCAGTCAAGTACTGATCCCCCATGCTATTTCTTAGCTTGTTCTTTATGAAGTTCATCACTAAAAATGCTCTTTCAACACTTGCAGTTGCAACCGGTAGCAATAGGACTAATTTCAGAAGCTTGTAGACATACGAGTGTAAGACATGCTTATTTGTTTCAACAAGTAAAACTGAAAGCTCGGCAATAATTTTCACTTTGCTAAATCTTTCATCACCACACATATCAACAATAAAGTTACCAAGCTGATAGGTTAGACGTCTCAAATCAGTGACTGAGAAGTCTTTGGGATAAAACTTTGCAAGTTTTACTAAGTTATCCTTGTCAAAAGAAGCAAATGAATCTTTGGGATTGAATGATGACATGCAAATCAGCAGATCAGTGTTTACCTCATCAAACCTATCATTGAGTTCTTTAAGCTGCCTATCAATGACACCAAGAAACATGTCAACTTTGAAACGATGATAATTTATGAGTTTGACATAGTACCTCTTTGATCTTCCAACTGATTTGTATCTGCCATCCATTTTAGGAACTACAATTTTGCGCTTCACACAAAAATAAGTGACATTAGCAAGAAATTTCTCCCATCCATCATCCTCTCGCAACAACTCAAGTTGAGTCTTTGTCAAAGATATGAGTGAAACAACATTAAGAATATCTTGGTCCCTCTTTTGCAAAGCACAATTCAAGTCATCCGTATACCCAAGTATGGTGTCTAGCAAATGTGCAAGGAACACAAATTTAAATGACTCAAATGAATATAATGCTATTTGAGCCTTTGAAGATTCTTTGTACTCTGTCATCATCTCCAATTTGTTGAAGTACCCATCGGATTGAACTATACATAAGAATAACATGTTGTATCGTTTTGTAGTGAGATCCCCAACGAGCATCAGCTGGCCTAGCTAACCCCATCTCTTGATTCAAACCACGACCACTTTCAATTTCACCCAACTCTAATGCTTCAATAACCTCTTCATCTTGAGCAGCTCGAAACAGTTGCAACCTCTTACAGGAGTTCCCAATGGTAGTCAACAACAACCCAAGCTGCTCAAAAAACCATTTGCAATCTTGGTTCTCCTTGGCAACAGCCACAAGGGTTAGTTGAAGCTGTTGTGCAAAACAGTGAACATAATAAGTAGAGGGAGACTCATCCATAATTAGTTTCTTTAGACCATTAACTGCACCCTTCATGTTGCTAGCCCCATCATATCCCTGCCCTCGAATTCTAGACAAGCTCAATGGATGTTCCATAAGTAAAGTCTCAATAGCAAGTTTAAGGGTTGCAGAAGTAGTGTCCCCCACATGGACAACACCAAGAAATCGCTCAACAACCTATCCCTTCTTATCAACATATCACAGGCAAAGAGCTAATTGCTCCTTTTGGTACACATCACTAGATTCATCCGCAAGTATTGCGAAGTAGTCATCACCAAGATCATCTATGATACGTTTAGTAGTCTCTTTGGCATAACAGTTGATGAGCTCTTTTTGTATCCTAGGGGATGTCAGCTTGTTGTTCTTTGGAGCATTCTTTAGAACAACCCTACTAACATCCTCAAAATTTTCTGCTAGCCAATTGAGAACTTCTAGAAAATTTCCTTTGTTAAGAGACTCCTCACTTTCATCATGACCATGACATGCTAACCCTTGTCTCAAAAGAAACCTCAAGCACTTAAGTGAATAACTCAAACATGCTTTGTACATAACTTTCTCTTCCGTGGTTCGCTTCACTAAAGTGTTTGCTATTGATGTTCGAAGGAATCAAATTTCTCTTGAGCTAGACGGTGTGACTTGCAAGCAGCATGTTTGTCAAATTTACTTGTATGATTTCAAAGCCTAAAGCCTCCATTCACAAAACTATTCCCACCTTTAGCTGTTTTATTCTTGAACAAATAGCAAATAAAGCAAAATGCAGCATCTAGTTTTACACTCTACTCAAGCCAACCATATGTATCAAACCAACTAGGTACAAAGCGATGTTTACCTCCAATATCTTTTCTTGGAAAATCATGTCCTCGAGGTTGACATGCCCCAATGCAATATATCTTTTTCTCACATCAGCTTGATCATTGGGATTATAACTTGATATGGGAATCCTCTCCCCAGGATTATGTGGAAGCCAGATAACATCAT